AAAAAAAGTCATTGAGAAGATAAGAATTTTCAAATGAACAGATTAAGAGACTTATACATGTATAAGGTGTATGTCTTGTTGTTTCATACTGTTTTGGTGACTCTTTTGTTTGTGTCCTTGTTGTTTTCTCGTCTATGGTAAGTATCTTCCCTTTGCCCCTAGTTTTATTTCTTATTCCGCCCCCTCCCCCTTCCCCGAATTTCCTATCCCTACCACTGTGCCAGTTTACTTAATGGTCCTATTTAATCATTCATTTATTTATTTTCTTTGATTTTGATTTCCTTGTATGTTACAATTATTTCTTTATATTTATCATTTTGTATCATTTTAGTGATAAGCCAGACCGTGCTCTCTCTTGCGCCGTCCTGTTTTTGTTTAGGATCCTCCTGGGTTCCTTGCAAATGGTTCTTGTTACTGGGGTCGTGCGGGGGTTGCGTTCATTGAACGCGGCCTTTCCTTGTTCATCTTGTTTCTCATATTTTATACTTGTATACCTAACCGAACCATAACAAACAGATAATGATTATCAATACAAGGTTCGACAAGCAAGCAAAGAAATGTAAAGAAAAACAGAAAAAACTTATCCACATATCCGCCCTCCAAAAAAACACCAAAAAAACGCCTGAAACTGCAAAACCGAAACATAAATACACATGGGTGCCAAAGACGGCTCTGGTAGGTACATGTGCTCCCTTGCGCCGGTTTCAACAGAATTCATCACTTAAACATAATAATGTAGAAATTTTAATCAACACCCACAGATGTGTACAAAATATGGCGGTAATCGTGGAAATTTCAATGCAACACATTCGAGGTGCCGTTCAATGAAAAGCGGGAACTAGATAACATGGAATTTTAAATGGATATAGGTTTTGGTGTCATTTTGCGACAGACGTTCTAACAGACGACTACAGTAATCTAATCAGACTATTTCTCCCATCTGTCTTACATTGTTATGCTATTCTACGTCTTAAATAAGGGTCACTAAATTTCCGCTTGCTTCGTTTTTATCATAAACCCCGTCATATCTGTTCGACAATTGCATTTTACTGAGGACTGTCTGAAATTCCATTTTATAGTTTGAAATTTTAAGATTTTTTTCTCAGAATTTAAAGTTGTTTTTGGTTGTTTTGAACTTCTTCCCCTACACAACTGTCCTCAATTTTTTTAAAGATAATAAACTAGAAATTGATAGGGAATTTAATATATATTGAAATTCTTCTTTGCTTCATCATGTATAGTATACTTATAATTCATTAAGATGTACCTACAATTACATTGTATTTTCATATGTGCGAAATCATGGCAGGGTTATAAAATAAAAAGGCAGTTCAGAAATTTCACCCAATGATCACAGATGTTAAAAAAATCCGACATTACAATTTCTAATTTGACAATTTAAATGGACTTTTAAAATGCAGTATGATCTGACGTCGGACATCTAAGTAAGGTTATCAGAATATCCTTTTCACATTTTATTTTTAATGCTGAAATATTCTTGTGTGAAAAAAAAGTTATTCCTGCATAATTCATGATAAATAACTTAGACAAATTATATTATAAAGCTTGACAAATACAATCGATTGCCGCCGATACCTGTGTTACACCATGGAAATTTTACAGTTTTACCCTGTTTTACCCTATCACCGCTTGCGTCATTTTCCAATATGGCCGCTTACAATAATTTTCAACGATTTAAAAAGTTAAAGTGGAATATTTAGACTTGTGTTCGACTTTAAAGTATGATAACTTGGAACCTTGCATAAAAAACGGTTCTCTTTCAGGTAATGTAGACCGTTTCTTTGAAACTTTTTTAGTTTTCGCTCCCAATAACTTCTAATTGGGAAGCGTCCGTGCATAAAAATGCAGTTCGTGGTTGGACTTGGAAAAAGACAGCGCCCGTCCAAAATTATCTCGGTGTCTCTTTGACAAGTCTAATTAGTTGGACTACGGCGAATGGTTCTTGAATATGAGTCTAAATCTATTTTTAGACTTGGAAAATCCAATTCACCCAGTGAATATGACAGTAGACCCAGTGAATATGAATTTATAAAAAAAAGTCTGTTGACTACTGTTTGAAGTTGTTTTGAATTCCAACCATTAGTCTTCAAGTTATGCTCCGGAAAAGGAAAATGCAACGGACGTCTGGACCGACCGACCAACCAATCGACCGACCACCGAGTGACTCCTATATACCCCCAAACTTCGTTTCGGGGGTATAAAAAGGGGCATAATTCTGTCAAAATGTTTGATACAGTTACCTCCTCCTGTCTACAGGTTGGGGTCATGATTGTGAACACGTGTGCAAAGTTTCAAAGCCATATGTCAATGGACTTTGAAAATATTTGAGGTATTCACAGTATATAAACGATTTGAACCCCAACCGGATCTTGTGAGAAGATGTCAGTGTCAGCCATTTTCTGACGCTTAACTCGTTTAATGTATTGGTATTTATATTGATACTTATGGACGTTAGGTTAGTAAGTCTATATTTATATCGTAGAAGAGATACTTTACTAAGTGTTTATGTTATGCAAAATATAAATGTTAGCATAAAAGCTATAAAATAATCGAAACTCACGAACTGCTTTCAGGTGATCAACACTGAACACTAGCAAAAATCCGTCTTATTTCAACGTTTATTTAGTTAAACATTGAATTGTGATATCGAACTTCTAAAATAATCAATAACAAACGATAATTTAGTCATCTGCAAAGAATATTGCTGTATTTTGAACATTAAATTAAGAGTTTAACCAAGGGGGTCAATTCCGTAAACTGAACGTTACTTGCTGGTGATTGTGAACCCTACTTGTGAGTTTACGAATTTTATCTGTACCCTGACTTGTGAGTATTTTTAAAGATTTAATGGAGCATTTAACGTATTTATTTGTTTATTGACAGGCAAAATGGAAGAATTCAGTTGTCTTCATTGTCCCCTTTCTCTTCAAAAAAAATAAAATTCGGAAACACTATTGTTCATAATTTGGACATCAGAACAAAAGCTTAAAAATAACAATTTCTCAGTTTGACAACAATAACAGAAACATTAAAATCATACTAAAAAGACTTTAGAATTATTCCAAAAGAACTGAAAAAGATAAAAAGGACTTTAAAAGCAAATGATATTACAAAAATAGTAAAAGTTTCAAGACAAGAAGGACTTGAAAAATAATCTCCAATCAAGAAATGTCAAAAAATCAAAACGCCTGTTAAAGATGTTCACACATCGACAAAAGATACGTTTTTTAGTACAGATGACGAAGAGTTTAAGTTTAAACTTGGTGTCAACTTATTCCACAGATCCCACATTTATGTTGTGTTTTCAACACGAAAGCTACTGTCAAGAACCTTAACTACAAATGATCCATCCAAATCATTCTGAAATACATGTATATGGCAATTTAGAAAGGAACTGGATTTATATATATCTTTTGACTTAAGATAACTTTTGATAGCCAATGATAAACATTTTTGGTTGTGTGAAAAGAAAACTAACAAGTTATCTTAGACACTGGCAAGACTGTAAACTTTTAAAAATAAGTGGAAATAAACTTGCAAGAGTGAAAACTACCTTTTAGACATTTATCATCAATATGCTGGAAACTCCTTAAAATGATTTATTAAGAGTGATCCTAGTCGTGCATGTCAGAAAAAGAAAGTCAAGACATTTATGAGAATATGAAACCGTGTTTCAAAAAGCATAATTAAATCAACGGTAGGTGTAAAGCTTTCAACATGTTGAAATACTAGTAAGTAATCTGCCAAAAAATCCTGTAATGATCTTTCGAGGAGGATGGATTGATATGTGACGTTATACAACGGTCACGTCAAAACTAACAACAATTAATGCCGTTGAACTTAATAGTAGAAACGTTTATAGTACTTATGTTATATCCTAGCTTTATATCTTTTCAAAGACAAATGAGTGATAAATGAAGATAAGATTTGTTGGTTGATATAAATTCTGTCAAGAAATATTTTTTTTCTTCCTTATTCGTATTACCAGCTACTTCATGCTGGTATTACCATGAAAATTGAAAACATGATGAAGGTCCATTCATGTGCAGTATTGGTTACTTATATAGAATTAAAAGATGTGTCATGCTCTTGTGACTCAAAAACTTCATATTATGCAAGATATAATTTGGAACATGGGACAAAAACAATAAAAATCATCAAAGTTGACTCGCAAGTTATGGTTCAGTGAAAACACAAGTAGGGTACAGATCATTAAAATTGTTTTAGCAAGACGGGTACAGTTAGAATTAATGTTCGCCTCTATTATTTACTATGTTTTTATCAATATTCAAAGATATCCACACAAGTGTCTGTGCGGTAAGACGAGGTAAGACAATAAAGTTAAGATTCAGATATGAGTTATAGTGAAATAAAACAATTTTAGGCATAAATTTGCTTGTGTAATCGGCGTGTGTTGACATAAACAAAACACGAAGCGAAGAGCACATCGTTTTATGCGCATAAATTTAAAGAAGCTGGTTAAAGATGTATCTATAAGCAAAGAAAAAGTATTTCTTAATATGATTCAAATGTTTACATACCGTCACAGATTAAATGCAAGCCGTCTTAAAAAGTTTTATGGGTCACCCAGCCTGTTTTTACGGAACTGATGTTGAGATCTTCTCACAAGATCCGGTTGGGGTACAAATCGTTTATATACTGTGGTATTACAAAAACTTTAACGTAAATTTGAATAAGTTGAAAAAGGGGCATAATTCTGTTAAAATGCTTGATACCGACACCGACGCTCGGGTGACTACAATAGCTCTACTTATTCTTATCGAATAGTCGAGCTAAAAATGTATTTTTAATAGAAAGGTATGTGCATGTGTAAAGGAGGATACGTAAATGACGCACGTGATCATATCAGAGAGGTCACGGTCTGACCCCCCCCCCCCCCCCCGTGTGTGGGTTCTAGGCGACTAAACGTTTAAGATATGAACACATGTATGAACACGTAAGAAATTCAAAGTACTTACATCATGTTAATTGAATACAATCAATACATTCATTTCGTATCCAAGCGTATATTTTATAGATCTAATTGGTTGTTTACTATAATCGCGTAAGCCACATTTACATATAACATGTCAAACTTCATCAATGCAATGTTTTCCAAGAGATACAGAATTCTTAAGTTAATAAAATGATATTCAAGAGTGTTTCTATAAACCTATACTTCCTACACAGTCGAATAAAAATAAATCCTGTAAACATAAACATATTATCCAGTTTAAATGTACATGTGTTTACTGTATACAACGTATTTTCGGAAAATCAAATATCATGAGCGGATATAGGGAGTGGGCGGCGCTGGCGCGCTATACTCAACCTACCTCGCTGTACATGTGTATCAATCTTTGGCATTTTTATTGAAAAAAAAAAATTCACAGGGATATTCATGAAAAGGATAGTATAAATGAAGTCAGTATAGGGGTATAACTTTAAGTATACTAAAAAACGACTGAGGCATATGATGTATAGCAGGGTTTAGGCATAATATGGGAACAACGGACAATTTTTTTCTATGTATGATAGATACGTTAGACACTGTACCCAGACAAAATTAAAGCTAATTAAAGTCCAATACCGAAGCTTATAACTATAACAGACGATGCTGTGTCTGACAATAGACGCACATTAAGCTCATCATCATACAAAAAAAAAACGAATGGAACAAACAACCGGAAAGGGAAGTAACAAAGCAAATTAATTTAAAGAAAACAAAAATTTCAAAAAAAAGAACAATAAACACAGGGCGGGATAGGCAGGAAAACCTTTAAACGGGGTGTCTAGAACCAAAGTCACACAAAAACTGTAGATAAAAAATTACTGTCGGTTACGAAAAACGCATGATTATAAAAAAAAACACTGAAATAGCGACAAGATAGATATAATTGATGGAAGCCAAAATATATGTCCTACAGAAAAAGAGAAAAATAAATGGACAAATAAATAATTATGACTGTGAAACAAGAAAAATTCAAGAACAAAGATCAACAATGCAAAGCGACATTAAGGAAATGCAGCCCACGACAAAATCCAGTCACACTGGACCAGCATAAAGGCATTCAGTACGAAAACGAACAAAAAGTAGTAGAGGACACAAATGCCGGGACATTGAGCGGTCGTACCAATAAATTAACAACAATTGACAACTAAATAAAGAAATCCCTAAACATGTCAAAGCAATATAAAATATGTTTAAACAAGTGAAGTAATACAATTGTATAAAACCTTCAAGGAAATATCTGTGACTAATTAATATCGTCGATTCCTTTGGCAGTTTTACATTTGAATAAAATGATAAGTTTGCACCCAGAAATGCTTGAAGTACAAGTTTGCAACCAAAATGCGCTTGAACAAGATGTTTTTGTTTATTGAAACTTCAATTTCAACATGCAAATTAAAATATTTACACAGTATTGATAGATCCATATTTTGTCGTGTTTGGTGAACTAAAAACTAAATGAGCTTAAAAACCGCCCTGGAGGGTCACTTGTTAACTCAGCTGGTGTGTCATTTGAAACATAAGTTATTTACTGTAAACTACATGGACAAAACCGATGTCCCCCATCGCGTGCGCACGTGACAGATAAAATATTTCTGATGTCCCCATCGCTTGCGCACGTGATAGATAAAATATTTCTGATGTCCCCCATCGCGTGCGCACGTGATGGATAAAATATTTCTGATGTCCCCCATCGCGTGCGCACGTGAAAGATAAAATATTTCTGATGTCCCCCATCGCGTGCGCACGTGATAGATAAAATATTTCTGATGTCCCCTCTATGCCACCGTACGAATACGATTAAATAGAAATTAATATTACAAATAATATGCATGTACATGTATTTTGTCAAATTCATTCAGTTAAATGTATAAATTTTACCTCTCCGCTATTTTTGCTAGACAGTTGAAATTTATTTAGCATTGTGTATAAAGTTTTGATAGTTATTTTCAATGACACACAATGTTTTGTATACCTTCTCCACTGGTTATTATATATGTATGATTATCACTGTCTTGTCATTTATCAGACGTATGTTTATCCTCATCGATGGACTTACCCAGTAACGTAGGAATGTGAATATAACGCGTGAGTTGTGCGATAGTAAAGCAGAATAGTGCAATTATATGGCCGAAACAAGTAAATATATATGTATCTTTTTTTGCGGGGAATGAATGAAATTGAATCAAAATCATAATTACAGTAAAAACTCTGAAAATCTGACCCTCTGAAAACCGGAATCCTCTGAAAACCGGAAGATTTTAAAAGTCCCGTATTTCTCCTTATAAATTCATTGAAAAAAATCCTCTAAATACCGGAACCTCTGAATTCTGAAAACCGAACAATTTTCTGTGGCCACTAATGCTAAACATGCCTAAAAAATCCTTTGAAAACCGGACAGCAATTTTTAGTGTCAAGTTTATGTGTATTTTAAAACAAAATCCCAAAAGATTCAATTGTCAGTTAATGGTCATCTGCATGTGTGAAAACACTTGTTTGTTAATTTCTTACTGGCAATTAAATTATAGCTCTTTCATCATAATTGTGTCTTTCCCTGTATAGGTATGATTTTTGAAATGTTTTAATTTGCTTGGGGTTTATTTATATAAAATGTCGAAAGGAATTTGGAAACTTTCGTAAAATGATTCCTGTTTTGCTAAAGATTTTGATCTTGAAGTTATCTTTTGTTTGGGCCTTAACTTCATGCAAAAATAGTAATACTAAATTTCATTAATTACATATTTCAAAAGCCACTTAAAAAGATACATTTCTGACAGTGCGTTGTTTTAATTTCTAATTTTCGGAATTAATATATTTATGGATTTGCATAATGAAATTACTCATTTATTGCTCAAGAAATGAAAATATGACTTAGACAAAAAAGTTGAAAAGTAAATATAAAAGGATTAAACATTGTTCAAACAGATCATAATTATCAAAGTAAAGTAAAAGTCCTCTGAAAACCGGAATCCTCTGAAAACCGGACTTTTGGTCAAGTCCAGACAGGGTCCGGTTTTCAGAGTTTTTGTATATCAAATATTAAAACTTATTCCAAATGAAAAATACTGCAGTTTACATTGTTTTGGAGAGGTAGGAGGGTTATACAGTGGGTAAAAGGAGAAGGCGGGGTTTTGGGGTACTGACCAATCAACGCGCCCAACACCTGTGGCATGTAACATCACTTTGTGGACCACAAAATTACTGGTACTAATCATGCCGCTGGGTTAATACATTGAATTAGCCTCGCCCTGGGGTTCACTTAGTTAATATAGTTTTGTATAGGAAAACATTTATGTCTGATTTGGATGAAACTGCAATGCCTGGGGTTTCGAAATTTTGACATATATTGCCTTGTTAGCCTGTTAATCATGCATACCCCTTGTGTAGCGAATTTTCAACACCTTTGAACTACATTGAAATAATACAAACACTTTAAATCCATTTTTATCACTTTAAATTTTT